GTCAACCAATGTCCCTCAAATTGGCACCAATGAGAGCAAACTGCATATACCTACCCATTTGAGCAGCAAAAGGTTCTGAACATTTTGCTGCATCCACCCGAGAGGCACTTTGTTTAACCACAAATTGGGACTAAATTGCTTTGTTGTGACACACACCACAAACAGCCTTACCACAGAGCCCAACTGGTAATTTACACACAACCTTCTAGGACAGTCTCTCATTGATACTTGGAGAGTCATTTACTCGGCCAGATGCACTTCAATATTTGAAGGTATTTTCAATGGCTCTCACTAGGGACAATTTGGAGGAGATATGTATACTTTTGTGGAATTTATTGGCCCTCAAGTAGCAACAGTTGGTACTAAGCACCCGTTATAGTGAAAAGCCTTCTATTTAAACAATAGAGTGTTTCTGTCGAGGAACTATCGGCTGATAGTTGCCACGTGGAAATTTGATGTTCTTAAAACATATACTTACCCAAGAGGCAAAGCATCAAGGGAAAATATGCTAGTCAGTTTTAAGAACATCAAATTTCCAAGGAACAACTATAAGACTGATAGTTCAAAGACATAAACGCTCTTTCGTCTTTATTGTTCACCACTAAATTTTCTTATGCGTGGCAGTTGAAAAACAGTCAAAACCCACTAAATGCTGATCAATCAAATATTTATTCATGCCTACAGCCTGTCACAAATGTCAGTAATTCACAACCGTACATTGGCTAAATAATACGTTATACCTGTCAGAATTGAAAAGTCACTGTTTTTCACAGATGAGTAACATCTATCTGGGCATTTTTCGTGGACAGGCAACTATGAGCTAATAGTGTCTCTCCAGGGATGAAGACTATTGCATCACATGATTAATTTAAACCCACAAGAATTGGAAAAAATTTAGTGGTGAACTATAAATTTATAATAAGCAGCAGGTGGCTAGGGAATAAGATAAGGAGACTTAACGCGTTATACTTCTTGCTTTTTTTGATCCTTTTAATTTTTTTTTTAATATTTTAAAATAATTTTTCTTTTTTGCAGCATACACTTACGCATGCAATTAATTANAAGCCATTTAAATTTGAGTGAGGAAATGAGTTTGGGGTGACACTAGTTCAGGGAAATTTGCTTGGCTGGAAGCGTTAATTGACTCATTTCCTCAGGCTCCGACTCTGTTTCTGTGTTATCACTAAATCTTCGTTTATGGCGCTTAGTTGTTCAACACTTAAAGGCCATCTGAGCGAGTGTGCAGTTAGAACATATCCAGTTGCGCGGTTCATAAGATCTAGTGTTCTTAGTGAAGCAGGAGTTGACATTTTCACAGCGAATGCGGACTAGTCCTAAACACCTCTCACATTCCAGCTTCTTATGACTCCGCTGAACCAGTTTGTCGCAATTAGCACATTTGTTTGTGGTTTGTTTTTCCTAGGATCTCGGCTCGATTATTGTCTTGGTTTGCAGCTTAGAAGATGGTCCAGAATTTCTTGCAATGTCGCCACTCTTGAGTAATATCTGACGGCACGGAGTTGAATTTGAGTAAGACTTTAAGTAATAAGTAATTGAATTTGAGTAATAATTTAAGCAAGAGCGCCCTGATCGCTTGGGCGTCTTGTGTGTAAAGATCGATGTTCCATTGTTTCCTTGCAACAAATTTTCATGATTGTTAATTCAATCGCAACCAAGCGAGAACGTTGGCGTCCCATTGCTTCTTTGAAACAATGGGCCATTATTACGATTTCTATGGGTATTGTCATTGATGCAACCAAGCGAAAAATAATTCCGCGAAGAAGCATGTACATCTAAGGAGAAACTCAGGAATTTGTCGATAAAATCGTTATTTCCGCTCGTGAGAGCCAGACCAGAGGTGCACGAGAAAGTTACGGACGTCCCATTTAAGTTGTTACAAGCAAGTGGAAACTTAAGCAGTAACAAAGCCAGAAAAAAAAGCGGAACATCTCAGAGCATGGCAGCACCTCATTATGCAGGATTTGTCTTGTCACCAGTCTTGTCACGAGCGTCTCAAATTGGACCTTAGCGTCTAAAATCAGGCACAAGTATCTGAAGGCGCACACAATTTTTCAAAATCGGAAACTAGTGTCTTCCATCGGACACTAGAGTCTTGGACCCGACCCTAAGTGTCTCAACTTGGACAATCATTTTTCAAAACGGCGACTAGTGTCTTGAATTACACACTAGTGTCTCAAATCGGACACTGAAGTCTTAAGTATAAGGTTCTACACTTGCCATTCACCTTCCGCTTTTCTGTATAGTTTTAGATATCTTTTTACTGATCAAATTAGATTTTAAATTTATTGAGATTTGACTCCGTTCTTTAAGGTTTTCCAGAAACTTTGATATTCGAAAAAAGAGTAAATGTGAGCCGAAAGTTATTTGGATCGTTTTTTACGCTGTTAATATTTTGTACTGTATAGGATCTTATAAGAATTATTGCCAGATAAAGTATTTCATTCTTAAGTCTTAAATCAAGCACAAGTGTCTTAAGACCGACACTGGTTTCCAAAATCGAAAACAAGCTTCTAAATACAGACACTTGTGTCTAAAAGCAGACAATAATGCTCAAAATCGGATACCTCTTTCCAAAATCAGACACTAATGTCCAAAATATGATGCTGTTGTCTAAAATCAGACACCAGGGATAAAAATCGGACACCAATGTTTAAAATCAGACTCTAGTGTCCACAGCTGGACACCAATGCCTTAAATAAGTCACCAATGCCTAAGAATTGCACACCATTGTCTATAATTGGACGTGTCAAAAATTGGACATTTGTTTTCAAAATTGGACATTCTAGTGTCCAAAACCAAAAGCTTGTGTCGAAACTTAGACATTAGTGTCTTAAAATGAGCACTATTGTCTTAAATTGGACAGGAGTGTGAGAAATCCATTACGGTCCAAATTGGACACTAAGTTTAAAGTCTTACACTAGTGTCTATAATTGGACACTTCTGTCTAAAAATTGGACAATTGATTCCAAACTTGGACACATGAACAAAATTGGAAGCTAGTGTCTGAAATGTGCCTTTACTGTCTAAAACTCTCCCACTAGTTTCTAAAATTGGACTCTAGGATGAGAAATCCAACACTAAAATTGTAGAATTAGACTACTGTCTAAAATTGTTCCATGGTGTCTAAAATTGGTCACTAGAGTAAAAAGAGACATTAGTGTCTAACAACTGACATTAATGTCTATAACTGGACACTACAAAAAAATTGAACACTAATGTTTCGCCGGATCGTTTGGAAATGTAAAGAAATTATTTAGTCTTCATTTCCTTTATTACATCAAATTTCAGACAACTACAGATCAATACTGGCTCCCCTTCCTTGAAGAGGTATATTGGCCATGATGATAAGAGTTTGATTGTGGTTAGAAAGAATATCAAACAATGAAGGTATAATATAATGGCTGTTGAGTTGTAATGAAAATGCTATCCACTACTAAAGGTTAAAACACAGATCTGAGACACACGTTTGCCTTTGCAAACTCTAGCACATCATTCAGTAGTCAGGATAATATCTAACTGCCACAAAAAGCAATACTTGTTATTAACTTTGAGCCCTAAAATTAAATCTAGTACATATGATAAAACTAGGTCACCCTACATAGTTGTTCCTCAAATTTTCTTACTTAAAATTAATGTCCCAAAGTAACAAATTTTAGACCAAAAAAGGTTCCCTTGATATCCCTTGTAGCCTTTTCAACTATCTTTTAATCAGTCTTTTCATGAATATGAAAGGTCTAGCTTTGACTAACAGAGAAAAGCTAATTGAGTTGCTGAATTGTGTGGTAAACCCTGCATTGTACTTTATGAATGGTCTCTAGTTACAAAAAATAAACCAAAGTTGCCAGGCTAATCTATACTTCCGTTATGAAAAGGAAACTAGCAATTGTTACATATTTGACTTCAGTTACTTATAATACTCCTTTCACACTCTAGATCTAAATTGTAACTACCCTGGCAGAGAATTTTACATTCTTTGTTGACTATTCCTGAAAAGTGCTCAACTAAGACAACATCCCCTGATAAACAAAGTTCTAAATTTGCTACATTCTATTGTATCCTACATGCTTGACAGAGTAAAAAGGATTCGCTTATTCATCCTGTCTGTCACTGCTAACAGTCAATAAGTAGAATACAAACAAAGCTCCTTGGCTGAACCACTAGATTCACCATTCATGAGCACCACAATGTCAGCAATGCGGCTTAGGAGTGCAGCAACTGCATCCGTATCAACCTTCGCCCAAACCTCACCTGAAAGATATTCCTCTACACTCTCCTCTGCTTCTTTCGGGGACAGAGATGGGCTGGGCTCTACTGGCATATGTACAGTAAAAAGAATGGCCACATGCTTATGTGGTGCATTTTGATCATCACAATAAGAATAAAACAGAAGTGGAGAAGGTGGCGGAAGAAGCTCAAGGTGATGGATGAGCGCTGCCCTGTGACCAGCCTCAAATTTTTCCTTTAGGAAACTGTCCATTGTTTTTTTGGTTGTATCTGGAGGATTTCCTTTCTCTTTTTCACCATCAATTCTGGCCAGAGTTCTTCGATGTATAGGATCCAGCTTTTCTGCCAGCTGAATGGCCAGGCAATCCACCCATTCATGTGCTGCTGGAGGTGCAGCCAGTGTGAAGACCAGTGGTTGCAGGGGATCCTTGTCGTGTAGATGAGCTACTCCACGAGATTTTAAAATCTTCCAGAACCTGTCAGTCTGATTAGTGAATGACAACTGAAACTTGTCAACCTCATCTCCAAAGTCTTTCACCAGGTCAAAGTTACTCTTCATGTCACCTTCAGCTAGACCAAAGTAGGCAATTACAGCAATACATGCAACTGTAACTGTGGCAAGCAATAGTCCCTTCTTGCGAAAATTGGTTGAACTTGATTGCGACTTCTCATGACCGCCTTCGCCCTTATTTCCTTCCTCGTTAGGTTCGGGCTTATAGAGAACCTGATTTTTTTGGGGGTCGGAAGATGTAACCAATGTCCGAGTTCCTTTATCTTGCCCTGCCTTTGGCTTAATTTCGTTTCCATCTATGCCGCTTTCAACATCAGCTCCATTTTCAGTATGCTATTTCGAACTTGAAACCTTGCCTCTGCAAGACATTATCTCAGTAAAAATATTTAGCGAAGAACACTACTCTGACGCTGTCTTTCACAGGTTGTACGAAATGTTTGTGCCTAAAGAAAGTGCAAGTTTCTCGGAAAACACCCCTTGGTAGCCTCTCGTGTGCATTATGCATTACTTCTTGTTCTAAAAAAGAAGGTCATTGGTCAATTGATTGAGACTTACCAATAAAAATTGCTGTACTAAATGACGCGGAAGTTGTCAGGGAACACCTGCATACGCACGAAAGCGTTCTCCAACACCTACATAAACATGGAGAGGAAAGAGAGACTTGTGCTGCTGGTGATAATTTTATGTGCGCCTCAGATAAACGCGCCAGATATGGAAGGAATTGCTGGATGCGCTATTACCGGAGGTGCTATTGCTATAGCTGGCTACACTGCGCGTAAAATTTATTGTCGTTTAACTGAATGCTGTGAGGACATCTCAGCCGACATAGCTGGTTTACAGGCAGCTCTTCGTTGGCGTGTTTTTGGTCAACACTTAGTCTCCCAGACCGTGTTGAAGGCACTCGTTGGACATTTGAACGATGAGTCGCCCAATAAAGCGTTGGCGATTTCCTTCAACGGCTGGACAGGATCAGGAAAGAACTTTGTGAGCAAGATCATTGCCGAACACATCTTCAAGAAGGGAATGAAGAGTAATTATGTTCATCTGATCATAGCTACCCATCACTACCCTCATCAGTCCGATGTAGAAATTTACAAGCGACAGCTGCGCGATCTAGTGGAAAGATCCGTATCAAAGTGCCCCAGATCCATGTTTATTTTCGACGAAATGGACAAAATGCCGTTAGGCCTCGTAGATGTGCTTAAGCCTTACTTAGATTACCACCCCCCTGGTGCAGGCAAGATCGATTTCCGTCAAAGTATCTTCATATTCCTCAGCAATACAGGGGGTGATCTCATCAACGCTGC